ATAAATTCAAACTTAGCTAAAAAGATCTCAGTTGTTCTGTCAGTGATTATGAAAACAAATGAGCTTAATAGATTCCCTCAATGTCCAAGACGAAATAAGAAAGATTCTCGAAGCTGGAGGATTCTTACGGGAAGTGGAAAGGTATTTTAAAGAGAGTTATCCTAACAAAAAGTATAACTTTTTCACGTGGTTGGTAATCTTAACGGAAGATCAACAACAGCTACAACTATTGGACTAGGGGTGGGGTGATAGAGCGCAGGTGAATGATACCGGAAGTAAGAGCATTTTCGAGTGGTCACCCCTCCCCTACWCGTGGTGTTTTGTCGTATGTCAGTGAGATTGTGATTTCTGATTCGTGATTCAGAAAACAGAAATGCGATTTCTGATTCGGGAAACGGAAATCCAAAATCCTACATTCTCTCCTACAAACTTGTATTTTCGCCTATGCAATATACCTAGGCAGTGCCGAAAAGTAAGTTTTCTGATTTCTGAAACAGAAATCTAAAATAACACTTGTACAATTCCTGATTTCTGATTCCAATAATCAGGTTGGCCGCAAAGCATCCTGATTGAAAAGGCAAGCATGATGAGCAAACGAACGCACTGATTCATAACAATCATCGCTTTGATAAGGTTTATAACGCCATCGATTGAATACTTAATGCTGATTTACTGATTATCTTTATTTTGATAACCGATTTTTATCGAGTTTCGTTCGACCCACGACTACCGTCGCGTCATGACTCTCATAAATCATAAACATACTCGATTTCTGTCCTCCAGGCCATCGGCATAGCAACAAGCTTGTATGCCAGCCTCACAAAAATATTCTCAAATTCAAGGGATTTGAGTCTATTCCACTAATTTCTGTTCTCATGTTTGGTCGGCCAATATCATGTAGTCGCATTATATTCTGCACGATCTTACAGTTAGGGTTTGTTTTCCCCTCGGATAACAACTAGTGGTGTTACATTCGAATTCGTACTCATACTCCACAAAATGCGCTTCCCTAACTATTGACCTGGATTCTTTTTCTTTGGTCGTTTCGTATATATGCATGCAAAAGTAAAGCACTGAGTAACGCAACGTAACACTAGAAAAGGGGTAAATATAAGCCATAATTAATATCTTGGGATTCATAAGCTCGTTGCTTCGTACGAAATATGTTATAAAAAAATTAAAGAATTAGATTGCGGATCGTTGAAGTAATAAGTGAGTTCCACTTCGTAAACGTACCTTTAATATTGCGCCCTTTTTGAAGGATAATTCATCGTCTGCTGTAGCAGTGAAATCGTGTTTCGAAACCGCTTCCATTGATAACACTCGGATTGAAATCCTCCGAGATCTTAGATTGCGCATGTGTCTTTGGAGACAATTAAAAAATCATTAACAAAGGGATCCCAATCTATGATTTTAACTTTTTATTAAATGAAGGCTATAAATACAACATATTTWAAAAAATACTTTATACATCTTTATATATTACTTTTAAGCAGCTCTAGCTTCTACAATTTTGTAATACCATATTGTTTATCGAGGGTAACCTAGTCAACACAAGTACTGTTATCAATAAAGGCCCTGCGACAAAAACAAAATTATAAAGATTATAAGATATGAGAATATATACATATATACATATAAATTGGCGTTAATTGACGTCATAGTAAGTGTGGCGTCACTCGTATAGAAAAACCTGACTTCTGGGCCTTAAACGAAAAGCAGTTCTATAAAGATTTTTCTTACTTTTTCTTTATGGAATGGATTTGTTGTCCAAAGTTTTAAAATTTCAGGTGGAGCTTACAGTAAATCATTGAGAGCATTTTTCCCTTTGTTTCAGCGGTTTAGGTATTGGACCGGAAATGGGTCACAACTTAAAAGCTCTAAAGATCTTTTAAGTGTGACGTCATTCCGGTATGGAAAGAAAAACGACTGGGTTCCGCAAATTTTTTTTTGTTTGTTTTTCTTTTTCTTCGTTGACAGGATTTGTTGTCCATATTCCTAATTGTTTCAGGTGGAGGTTAAATTGTGACAACATTTCTGGCTTTATTTTAGCGTCTTTGTGAGCAGTTGGACCTGGAAATACGTCACCACTTAATAGCTCTATTAGCGCATGCAGTGCATACGAATAGAAATGCGCAAATGCTAAAAATATCTCCAAAGTGCCAAAAATATATAGATATTTGCATTCGACTGCAAAAACGTTGCAGTATACCTATATATAAATATAGTTCCAAAGGGATGCAAAATCCTAAAAAAAACTCTGTAATAATGAGATTGTATATGACAAAGCAAAGTAACAAACCGGCATTTATTCATTTATTTATTTGTTTATTTATTTTTTATCTTTTTATTTTTTCATTTGTTATTTTATTTCATTTTATTTTATTTTATTTTATTTCATTTCATTTTTTTGCTTTGATTCAAGATGCGTCTAATGCATGTGGTAAGACTTTGACATGTTTGGGGTATATACATATATATACATATATATGAATGATAGCGAATTGAACTCGTTTCTTAACAAAAATGTGTTACCAAATTGTTCTAGAATACTTAATAAAGCTTTGCATGTCTGCAGCTGAGTTGTTCCTTGTATAGGTTTTATTTAATTTTCAACTAAAATAGTTTTTGAGATGTGGTGAGTGTTCTGCCAGACTCCCTGCACACTTTCTTTTGTTCAGCACCATCACGGTATGATATGAGTTGCAGCTCGAGTAGCTCGAGCTTTTCGTTTGAAGTTTAAATACGTCAATCTTCTAAAAATATTTTATGGTTGGCGTCATCGACACCATTTTAGTTAGTTCCCGAAATCTCTTCATTGTCGGCCAAATCCTGGTGACCCTGCACTTCACAGGCAGGCGGTGTAACTTACTTGATATATAATGTATATAACCAAGCGTTTGTCTCATTTTCAGTGCCTTCCACGCCATTCGTTGTCACTGAGCTTTGTAGAAGAACTTACACGGACAAAAACTGACGTTGAAAGCAAGGAAGCAGAAATCATTTACTCCACCCGCAATACGGCATCAAGGTAGGCGGTAATTTTAGCGGAATTTGAGCGTGCGCACGCCCTTGGGCTTAACAAATCGAACGTTTTCAACGTTCAATAGTAGGCAGTGACTCTTAATGATATAAAGCGTAACAACGAAACAATGGCTCAAATTCTAGGTTGGTCTTGATAAAATACAGTAAATACATGAACACATCAATTCCAGCCTTGTTTCATGGTCAATAAGCGAATTCGGAAAAGATCTATTATCTCTGCGTTCACTAGTTTCTCGTTTTTAGGTCTCACGTACATTCGCTTATCTTCGATCGCTGATTGGCGCCGTTTGTGAGACGTTTCCGGCGATAATCAATAGTGATCCGTTTAAGTTGTTTAACTTTCTTTTAAAAATCTCTAAAAAGCTTGCATTCGTTAAGCTAGTATCGAGTTCTCGCGCCCTGTGTTCGTATGCTTTTTCCCACAAACAGCTTCATTATGCTATTGTTAATTCTATTGCTATTGTTGATAGAGTTTGTTAGGTCTCTTTCTTGATTCGAGGAGTAATTTCTCTGAGTTCTGCGGCTTTCCTCCTCCCCAGTACCATGCATAGTACCATGCACAACATTCAGAATGATAACTCGGAAACGGTAAGAGGTTCACCGGGGTTCACCTTGMTATTTTTGATCATTAGGAATTAAAGCTTCGGAATATCTATGAATACAGACATGTTATCCATCTTAAAACCAGATGACAAGCGATAAAGATACACGATATTTCAACCTTCAGTGTCAGCGTGTGAAAGCGATGGCCATCGTAATGTTATAAGTTTACATAGAAATATGTCTTATCTGGGAACGAGATTTGTTGTACAGGAGTTACTGCCATTAATCCATGCGACAGTTAAAAAAATATGAGGTTATGATAAGTAATATGAGGGGAAATTAATGATTCTTTACGACGACTATGAAATTCCTGTATATTTTTTGTTGCCTGTGATCATGATTGTGATTGGTCGATTAGGTCACGTGCCACTTGATCACCCTCCTCTGCCTCCTCCCCAAAACTTACATAATGATTCCAATCAGTAGATCTTTGCGATATATGATATTCATGCCCTGACCTAGATCAGCCAAAAGGTTGTTTCAGGGTTCAATACAATTGTTAACCTTTTTGAAGGTTTTCACTTAGCTCTTTCCGATATTGTATCGAACAAAAGTATGATAACATTTCTTTTCCTCTTGATCTTAAAGGTTAATTTATCATAATCGTTTCGTAAAGCGGTTAGATATATATCCGTTTCCCTTCCGATTAACGATTCAGAGATCAATGTAATATTAGTGGCTTCCGATCCTAAGATGGACACACTGATTAAAGGTGTATGACCCAGTTAGCAACAACAGTAATGAAGTAATTACTATATGAGTTAAATGGATTGCGTATCAACATCTGCCTGGCTGGGTTGGGAAAAAACAGTTTCCTTTATATTTTTCTTCTTTCTTTCTTTCTTTCTTTCTTTCTTTCTTTCTTTCTTTCTTTCTTTCTTTNTTCTTTCTTTCTTTCTTTCTTTCTTTCTTTCTTTCTTTCTTTCTTTCTTTCTTTCTTTCACAACATAGAAGGAGACTCGTATAAGCTTCGTCGATCGTCGATATCGCAAAGAAAGAAATACTACTCAAGGGATCGAAATACCATGCACGCGGCTTGAAAAGACAAACAAGACAAGACACTTTTTTTGATCCCCCACTTCACGATCTGAAAACTTAAAACTTAATTCAGTCTCAAGAGAATGCTTTCAGGCAATTCATAATATGAGTTTGTTAATAAATTTGATAAGTTAAAAGATACTTGTATGAAAAATATTTTGATTAAAACCCACGTAAAGTTAAAGGTGAGAGAACTTCCGCTAGTTCGCACTTTGCAACTGCTCTCTCGGGCTGAGACATTGATTGCCAACACCATCGAGTTTTTWAAATGTCAAAATTGAAACACCTCTAAAAGTACAACAAGCGCACACAACATGAAATACAGCATCAAAACTGAAAGAAAGCTTAATATTTGTTTATTCGTTTCATTATATACCAAAAGAAACCCCATCGTTTAGTATTCAGTTAGAGTCAATTATCTGTTTGATAATAAAATCGCGTTTCCTGAGACGTTAGTAATTGTTCGTGTGAATGACCATGTAAAGCTATAAACGTCAGTGGGTGGAACAATGGATAGATAACTATCAAGTATATGAGTACAGTAGTCAGACCACGAAGTTTGAAGAACCTTGAGTAAAGTAAATTTGCTATATTTGACCGAGGTCTATGCAAAAACTGAAGAAAAAATTAGTCCTCAAAGAAAATGGAAATGGAACCAGGAAAAGGTTAGCTATGATGTTAAGTGTGACTTCCAAGTACGTGTCGGGTTTTCCGCTTACAATAGCTTCTCGTAGCCAATCGTAACAGTCAATTTCTCAGCATAAATAAAACTTTCTAACATCCGTTGGCCACTTTTTATGAGGATGAAATCTTGCTTAAAGTAATCATTTGATTTAAAATCTTGAAGAAGTCTCGACAATTCCAAGCGACGTACAATCAATCAGTGATCCAAGGCCCTCAGTTGGTAAGTCCATACATCAATCGATTTATTTGCACTTTAACATATGGTTAGAGATAAACTTTATTTTTCAATTCAGTGAGTGAATATTAATTGGAATCGTTGTTCTGCTTCTTTTTGGTACCGTTTTTAATAAATTGAGACAATTTTAATATAAAATAATCTGTTCGGTAACCCATAAAATAAAGACAATTGTTTGCTAAAACATTAAGGCAGGTGATTCCGTGAGTTGGATGATAAAAGTCTAGGATAAATTCACGCAAGGTTAAAAGATAGACCTTTGTCTTTATTGAAGCTGTTTCAAGAAGGTCATTACGAACGAACTTTATAAAGAAATAAAGCTGAAAAGAACAGTTTCCAATTATTTTTGGCGTTTTTATTAATGTTGTCGACAATATGGACACTAAAAACTCCTCCAAGTTGTTCTTTAAACATACTCAACAAAGAAAGGGCTAATGTAGAAGTAAGTTATATTTCTTGTTCTTTAACGGCTTTTAATTCATGTTATTCGGTAGTTTATAAGTTTATTTATATTCATAAGATTCTCAAGTTGATTAATTCAACTCTTTTACGCCAATTCAATAACTCATAATTAGCTCCTCAACCCGCTCCTCAAGATCTTAGCACTTGCCAATTGATTTTCAAAAGAAGAATGCTTACTACCCGACCGGTGTAAGAAGTTATAGAAGGGAGTATGACTTTGACCTTCGTAGTATGGAAGAGTATAAAAAACCGGGCCCATAACACTCAACATTAAACCTAAGTGCTTCAAAGTCATCTGCTTTTATTCCCATGAGATTATACAATAGCAGTGATTGGCATTTATCTTACAAAACTCTAAATTCACATGAAAGAGCATGCCCAATTTGGTTAGGTTTTTTAAATAAGTCTGGCGATGCCAAGAGAAGGTTGATGTACAATATTTGCATTCATTTGGAGAGTTTTCCCTAGCTTGAAACAGTGAGTTGCATCGGACTTCATAGGAATTGACGAGGCAAGAGCCAACAAGAAATTTCCATATAAACATGACAATGATGACAGAAACCATAGAAATATTGAAGGTAGCGAGAGTTAATCAATTTTCCATTCATTTTTCAGTACAGTGGAATATGAATAACACGTCTAGCTACAACAAGGTGCAAGAGCCGTTGAAACCCCGTTCAAGCGTAGAACTCATTACATTGTCACTGTCCCTAGCCCTGATCATCGCATTAAGTGTCTTTGGAAACTTATTATTGATTCTCTCAATTTTCAAAAACGAACGCCTTCGAGCCAGCTTTGCCAACAAACTCATCCTAAGCTTGGCCATTGCAGATTTTTTAACCGCCTCATTTCCCATGAGCTATCAGCTGGCTACCGTCGTTAATGTCAACATCATCAGCAATGGTGGAGTTGTTTGTACCATAGGGGGACTTGCAACCTATTCTTTCTTCTTTACTTCGACTTTTACAATGATAATGCTGTGTATCGATCGTTTTGTTGCCCTTGGATATCCGTTGCATTACAATCTTCGCATCACTTCTAGAGTGAAGATCTTCATGATCGCCTACCCTTGGGTTCATGGGTCACTTTTTGCAATACTTTGTGGTTCACTTCTTGACATTAACTTTGACCCGAAAGGATTGGACTGCGGATTGGGTTGGCATAAACGTCCTATGGCTTTCACCCTGTCTGTCTTGATGATTCATGTTGGAATGCCGTTTGTTTTGTTGCTTGTTCTCAATACTCGTACTCTGTTTTTGGTCCGTGCTCAAAACAGACAGATTCTTCATTACGATAAGAAAGGAATGACAGACAAGTCTGGTGTAATTAACATCAGGGCAAAGGATGCCTACAGAAAGAGAGGTGAGAAAGAAATTTGTTGATCCATGGATGCAGCATCCATCAATCAATCCATCAATCCATTTATGCACCATCCAGTAATCAATCCATTGATGTAATATCCACCAATCAATCCATTGATGCACCATCAATCCATTGATGCACCATCCACCAATCAATCCATTGATGCACCATCCACCAATCAATCCATTGATGCA